TTCTTACACTGTAGCAACGCACCCTCTGCCTGCCAGGACTCCCTGTGGTTTCAGCTACAGCTGCAGAGTTTCTGCTCGCTGCCCTGGGTGTACCCACCCTGCCATTCCAGCTTGCTGCTTGCAAGGTTCCTGCTTGTCCTGGCTTGTAAGATAAGCATGTATTCTATTGCCATCTGTTGGAGGTTGGGCAGTTTTATCTCTTCCAAGAACAATATCTCCCTCTGGGGAGATATCTGCTGTTAATGGGCCATTAATGACTCACTGCATGACCGGTAAAGTTACATCATCCCATGGTGAGATGCTCCACCCAGAGGGAGGAGCCAAGCATTCTTACCTGCATAAAATCAGCACTTTTTGAGACACTGGCAGCCACTTCACTGTATTCCCAGAGGAGCAGCTTCTTCTTCGCTGAATTCTCAGAGGAAGACCAGACCCAACTACTACCAGACCTTCAGAGAAAACTCCACCCTTCTAGAGATCACCACTTCAGCAGCATTTCATCTGCCACTCCAGGAGGAGCAGCCACCATTTAACTGGACTACTATCAACACCCTGACTCCTCAGGGTGTCAGGTTTCTGACTACATCACTAGTTTCATTTGTACTAATTACATTTTTATTATTATTATTATTTTTATTTAGTTTTTCTCCCAGTAAAGAACTGTTATTCCCATTCCCATATCTTTGCCTGAGAGCCTTTTTTAAAATTGTGGTAATTCGGAGGGAGGAGGTTTACCTTTTCCATTTCACAGGAAGCTTTTGCCTTCCTTCACAGACAGGAGTCTTTTCAAACCAAGACACTGCTCCAGCTCCTTTCTCTATCCAGAGGGGCAGCGGCTCGGCTGCCCTTGGCGGTTTGTGTAGGAAATGCTGTCTCCATCCCTTCCACCCAGCTGCGTCCACCACTGCACTACACACACACAGCTCTCCCAGCCTGCCTCCAGAGTAGAGAGCCTTCAGCCCTTGAAGCACCTCCACAACTTTCCTGGACTTGCCACACCATCTGCACATCCTGATGTTTGGGGTCCCAGAGCTGGATGTATTACTCCTAAACATAAAACCTGCTTTCCCCCTTGTTCTGTTGCTCCAGGCTCTTGCCAAGCTTATCTCCTTTTTGTTCTTCTTCCTTTTGGTCTGTTTTCTTTTGCAGGCATGACACAAGCCTATAATCAAACAACTGCAGGATGTTCTCTGTCAGCAGCCACAGTCAGAGGGGGAAAGTGCACAGTGCCCCTGCCAGCTGTGCCTGTAACAGCACCAAAGGGGAAAGTGCTGCAGCCAAGAAAAGGCTGTCACTGGTCTCTGATTTTGTTTCTCGTTGGTTGCTGTTTTTGCTGTTTGCCTTGTTATACACACTAGTAAATAACTGTTATTCCTTTTTCTATATATTTTCCTGAAAGCCACTTAATTTCAGTTATAATAATTCAGAGGGAAGGGTGCCATATTCTCCATTTTAAGGGAGGCTCCCACCTCCCTTGATAGACACCTGTATTTCAAATCAAGACATGCTTGTCTGGAGAAAGAAAAGTCTTTAATAAAATTAAATAATTGAATGAATGACTGAAGAGACTCGGCCCACTGTTTCACACTACTTTTATGCAGTCAGTGTCCTTTTAAAGCATCTGTCATGGAATCATTTTATTAATATAAATCTGCCTCTTACTGCAGAGACCTGTATTTCCTCTTCTCTTGCCTTTTATATAATTCCAGTTGTGCTTTTCTTGCCTATCAGACTACTCTTCCAGCTGCAGATCAATTCAATTAAGCACAGAGGCCAAGCAGCCGGCAAATAGTTCATTAAGATGGTTTATGAGGTGTTGTTCTGAATTCATCAAAACCCTCTGGAGAAAATCCTCCTCTTCTCTTAACATGGATATGCAGCTGAGCTCCAATCCTGAGAGGACAGGACATACAGAGATACTGGGCTGCCTTCCTATACATTAGGTGCTTTAAGTCACCCAGCAGTGCTCCACAAACCCTTTGCAAACAACAGCTGATATAATTCAGCCTCTTCCTCAACCCTCAGCTCATTAATTTGTCTACTGACAAAAAGCTTTTAGATCTTTCTGCTGTTTACTTGCTCAGACAGGAAGAGGCCCTGTGGCACTGCAGAATGACAACTGTTTTGGGCAGGTAACAGTTTACAGATCAAATCAATAATTCTTCAATTATCAACCCATTGTGACATTTCACCTATCTGTTCCCTTGGTAGGGAACCCAAGCAGCATTCCTTTGATTTCCACTCTATCACTCACTGAAAAATGTAAACAAATGTTGAAAAAAAATGCTTTAAAATAGTGTGTGAAGATAAATTCTCTCTTATCCTCCTTATCGTCTTATCGTTTTATGCAATTTTTTTTCAGGTCAAATGGGTTTATAAGCTTAACTGAAAAAATATGGAAAGATGGCTGTAGACTGGGAGAACGTTCAAAATCCCAGACTAGGAAACTAACATTAAGGAATACATTTAGAACAGGTAGCTCAGTGTGCAATCTGCAGGTGGAGTTCTGCATGGTGGGAAATGGCAGGAGCCTGAGGCCAGAGGCAGGTGAGCAGCCACTCAGAGACATGCCAGGATCCAATAACTCCAAAGGAAGACCCCAGACTATTGCACACAGGATGGAAAAAATTTTGCTATAAAAAAACAAAAGTAAATGAGAAAATGCTTTAAAGTTCTGTTGTGGTCTTCAGGAAGTAGAATCACAGAATCACAAGATGGTTTGTCTTGGAACAGACCTTAAAGATCATCTCATTCCAAACTCCCTGCCATGGGAAGGGACACCTTCCACTAGACCAGGCTGCTCCAAGCCTTAACCCGCCAGGTCTTGAACACTTCTGGGGTGGGGCAGCCACAGCTTCTCCAGGCAACCTCTGCCAGGGCCTCCCCACCCTCACAGGGAAGAATTTTTGCCCAACATCCCATCTAACCTGATCCCTGATAACGTGAAGCTGTTACTCCTTATTCTGTCACTACATGACCTTGTACAGAGTCTCTCTCCATCTTTCCTGTAGGCTCCCTCTGGGTACTGAAAGGGGCTCTAAGTTTTCCCTGGAGCCTTCTCATCTCCAGGCTGAACACTCCAAATTCCCTCAGCCTTTACTCACAGTAGAGGTGCTTCACCCCTCTAATCATCTTCATGATCTCCTCTAGACTTGCTCCATCAGGTCCACGTCCTTCCTGTGCTGGGACCCCAGAGCTGGATGAAGTTCTGCAGGTGGGTCTCACCTGAGTGATGTAGAGGGGCAGAATTCCCCCCTTCTCCACTGCCTACAGGGTTTTGGATGCAGCCCAGCATACAGAATTTTCTTGGCTCCCAGTGCACGCAGCCAGGGCAGGTTCAGCCTCCCACCCACCAGACCAACCAATTCCTAATCCATCTCACAGGCCTGTTGTATCTGCACAGAATTCTGGTACTTGATGCACTGAAATTAAGGGATAAAATTACTCTACTTGTGTAGCAGACACTGTACATTACGTATTGTTCTAGCAAAAGGGTAAGAGTATGTCCACCCAAACCTCAGTTGTGCCAAAGGAAGGTGAAATATTTAGGCTTTATTTTGGGGAAGGGGCAACAAATGATAAATCCAGAAAAAAAAACCTCCCTCCACATACATAGTCTTTATTTTAACATTATGTTGTAACTTAAAACTATATTTAACACACTACTTAAGAGAATTAATACAGCGTAACTTTCTAACATTATACATATAATATTCATTGTAACATTTGTGAAAAGCCAACATAAAATATGCATTTTTCACAGAACAGAGCTGGGTAAGCTCTGAGGTCCCTGTGAAACAGAAATTTTTAGAATTCACTTAAGTTAAGAAAATGAATTAAGCATTTATATTTTAGGTTGTAAAATTATGTGTTGAATTTTAACCTTTTAAGTAAGAAATCTCTACCATGGGCCAAAGGCCAAAGGAAATGTAAATTTCTGAAGCTTCTTACATAAATAAACGGTACCCAGGGATGCAGGAAATCCAAATAAGAACACTCGTATGTCTCCGCGGCTGTCAAAGATACACAGATAAGCACCAAGAGACCGAAAGCACATTCGCAGAGAGTTCGAAAGTTCACCCATGAGGAAGACTACGATATTCAGCCCCAGCCCAGGAGAGACCCCCGCACGACCACCACAGCAAAAGCCGCAGCTCCCAAATACACACCACACCTTTCAGGTGATTACAGAGTCTTTTTATCCATACAAGTATTGAATACACAAAATACAAATACATATTCATAATTTTGGTACATCCCATTCCCCGCTTCGTATGCTAATCACTCCAAAAGCTATTAAGCATGCGTAGTTTGTCCCTTGAAATGGGTCGGTGTCCCTTTCATGGGGATGGGTCCCAAAATGAGGAAGTCAATGAAGTCTTCCTCGTTCTGACCTTTCTACCTTTTCAATGCGGGTATGACAAATGAACTCTTGGTAGAACTCCCATTCCTTGTCTTCAATTGGTTTCAGAACAGAGGAGGCCCACAATTGTCTTATGTTCCTAAAAGCTATTTATCAGTTTCTATATTCTTCATTATAAACCTAGCTAACCAAACATTGTGCTGACAAGCAATCAATTATTAGTTAACTACTAACTCCTAACTTCATCAAAGCCTACTCATTTATTATTCTCATTTTAATTAACTCTAGTAAGGCTTATTTCTAACTAAAATCTTAGCTCCTCAAAATCTCTAAATGCCTTAAAGTTTACGTTTCAAGAGCTCGGGGCACAAATCTTGGAGAGCCATCTCACTTGTGCCGTGCGCTGGCAATACATACCCACTTCATAACTACTCCGGCTTGTGGAGCGTATTTATTTATTCGGCGTATCGCTTCACCCGCTGTCCCAGCCCACTCCGTCCCTCGGAGCTGCCCGCTGTGGCACGCTGTCCCTGGAATAGGGCTGGGTGAGCTCTGAGGTCGCCGCTGTCCCTGGAATAGGGCTGGGTGAGCTCTGAGGTCGCCGCTGTCCCTCATGTCCCTCATGTCCCCGCGGTCCGCTCCGCGCCGCCACCGCCGCCTCAGGCCGCTGACGTCAGGCGCGCGCCGGGCGGGCGGGGTTGCCATGGAGGCGGCGGACGAGTGGCTGCTGCAGTCGCTGCAACTGTGAGGGACACCGGCACCCCCGGCACCGACCCGGCACCCCGACACTAACCCGGCACCCCCGGCACTGACCCGGCACCCCCGGCCTCATACCCGCCCTCTCCCCGCAGGTACCGCGACCTGCACACCTTCGAGCTCCAGGCACCCACCCGCCTCATCGAGTGGGCCCGCGGGGACCGTGAGTGCGAGCTGGGGAGCGCTGAGGGCAGCAGAGGGACCGGGCTGCGGTCGCTGTGGCCAGCCGGAGGAGAGGAGGAGGCCCAGGGGCCGGGTCGGGGCCTGTGCAGCGGGAGAAGGGGGGAAAGAGGCTCTGGGGTTGGACCAGGGTGCAGGGCCAGGACCCCAGAAGTGGGGCTGAGTGGTGGGAGATGTTCCGGGTTCAGCTGGGCTCCAGCTCGGGGCCTGCTGACCCATGGACTGTGCGGTAACTCGGGTGTGTCACAGGGAGGGTGGGCTGGGCAGGGGGACAGCCCTCACCATGTCCCTGGCTCTTCATGCCCACTCCACCAAGGTGTCTGTGTAGCCGGGTATGGACAGTCTGATGGGAATGAGATCCTGCAGCTGATCCCGCCGCCAACGCTGCTGACAAAGGAGACCCAGGTGGGTGTTGCAGCCAGGGCGGCACCAGACCTCTCTGACCTCCTTGGCTTAATATTTTCAGAGACCAAGCCTTCATGGGCTGTTACCTGTTACCTGGGCATGCCCAGGGATTGATCAGCTCTGGTTGAAAGGAAAAGCACATAAGTCGTTTGTTGTCCAGTCATGTTATCCTGCAGTTGCTCCGTAGACAGCTTGGGTTATGGACACTTCATTTCCAGGTATGTGAATGAAAGCATTTCATGGGGAAAGAGAACAGATGAGGACAGCAAGCCAAGTGAAGAAGGGGCTTGCTGAGCAGCTCAGGCCTGGGGGACCACCCTGCAGAGCACCAAGGTTGGCCCTTGGGTGGGTGACCTCCACACTAAAGTAGAAGGTGGTTTTTGGTCACTAGGTAAGTAGAAAGCTCCTGAGCCAGATGTGCACAGATGGCAACAAACACAAGGAGAGCTCTTGGAAGCAGCTTTCTCCAGACTTTTGTTCTTTCTGACTATTTTGAGATCCTTCAGTCCTGTATCTCCTGTTGAAAAAGGCAGCACTGGACAGGGAAGAGTTATACCAAACAAGAGTTTGCCTCATGTCTCTGTCATTTTTTTGTGATAACTGAGCACAAGTTGTGCACCATTGTGTGAAGAAATAGCTTTGCCTCTGATTTCTAGGGCCTGTGTCCAGAGAGAGATTTCAAGGTAGAATGTGGTGGATTTTCAGAGCGCCCAGTGTACAGCCTGAAATATGTGCCAGACACCAGGTATGACCACAAGGTCCTTCCCAGGATATATTGGAGTAGGAGAAGGGACTTACTCACTGAGAGAAAACTCCTCTTCCGTGCCTGCTTCCCAACCCAGCTGGTCAGTCCTGCCAGCTCTGACACCAGTGTGAGTCTGGGCCAGTTACATACCAAGAAGTGCTGATGTTGCTGCTCCCTACCTCACTTCTGAGCAGCAGGGACCTGTAGAGTTTTCCTGCTCTACCTTTCTTCAGCATTTGACACTGTTTGGAGCTGCTTAGCAGCAGAGTAGGACACTGGTGGCTAGTGCCACTGCTCTGCAAGACCCTGTGTGTGCAGGTTCAGAAGCTTTTTTTCCTGTTCTGGATTTAGACCAAACAAATACCACTGGCCGATCTCTTGTTCAGTGTTTCTTCCTACACAAGTCCCCATTGACTACTTTAGGGCTGTCTGGATCATTCTTAGTCTAGTCCTTCTAGACTAAGAAGGAAAAGGTGGTAATTAAATCATAGAATCATTTAGGTGGGAAAAGCCCTCTTGAGACCATTGATTCTAAGCATTCTCCTATCACTGCCAATCCCAAGTGCCACACACAACTTCTAAATCCCTCAAGGCATGGAAACTCCACTACTGCCCTGGGCAGGCTGTGCCAAGGCTGGACAGCACTTTCGGGGAAGGAATTTTCCCAATATCCAACCTAAACATCCCCTGGTGCAACTTGAGGCCATTTCCTCTTGTCCTGTCCCTTGTTCCTTGGGAGCAGAGACCAATTCCCACCTGGCTGCACCTTCCTGTCAGGGAGTTGTAGAGAACAAAAAGATGCCCCCTGAGCCTTCTTTTCTTCAGGCTGAGTATCCCCCAGCTCCCTCAGCCACTACTCATCAGATCCTCATAAATTATCCTCATAAATGCTGTTGCCTGGAACTGTGTTTGCATGGGCTATGTGGAGCATCCCTGCATGAGGAGTTCTGGGATTATGGTCCTTCCAGCCACCACTCTGCTCCAAGCAGAGGCAGGAGTTCCTGCTTACAGGAGCAGCAGACCAGTTTGTCCCAAGCTGGGGAAAACAAGGCTCTGCTCCTGAGGAGACTCTTGTGAGACTCTTTGTTTCCTCAGCTTGCTGGTAACAAGTGGCCCACCCGACAGCTCCCTCCAGGTCTGGCAGGTGTCAGCAGAGGACTCTGGTAAGGCTTTCTGAGCTCAAGCAGTTTGTTGTTATATGTCACATCTCTAGCTTCCCCTTCTTCCTGTGTGTCAAAAATGAGGAAAGGAGTGCCACTTCCCTGTCCTGAGTGACCACACTTGTGTGGCACAGGCTGGAGAAGGGTACAAGACTTAACAGCACAAACCTCATCAGAGAATTAGTATGTTTAGGCCTATCACAGTAGCCTTGCACTGCATGTAGTTGGCACAGTGTCCCCTCAGTAACTTCAGTGGTTAGAAATATAACTCTGTCCATTGCCTTTTGGGATAGACCATAATCCACTTTACTTCTCTCAAAAAGAGAGAGGCTGCTACTGGGAAATACCTGTAACCACCAGAAAGGAAGTGCAAAAGGAGAAAACTTCTTCATTGAACACAAACACCTCAATATACAAATTTTCATTCATTTTGCTCAGCATTTTGTCAGTCCTTGCTGGATGAGTTGGAAAGGGGTTTTATCCTGAAGAGAGGGTTAGGCATAATTAGATTTCTTATTGGTTTTGTAGGTCAGTTTTACCTTTGTGAGGTATTGTTGTGAAGCAGCTTAATTGGATGGATTACTTGGTGTTCAATGTGTTTTACATCTGTTTCTCTCTCTTCCTAATAGATGTTATTAAATCTGTAAGCACCATAGCAACAGAAAATGGCACTGGGCAATCCTGGGCTAAAATTGCCACCATTTCAGCCAGAGCCCCATGGGTCCTTCATGGCTCAAGACTTGACAGAGTCCAGATTACAGAGGTTGAATCAAGGAAAAATGTCTACACATCAGGTATTCAAAGCAAGCCTAATGTCTTATTTTTGGAAAGGTGGGGTTTGGGTAAAGCAATGCTAATTGTTTGAATAGCAAACATTTCACTGAGCAGGTACTTTTGGACGTGTGCAAGTGGTTATAAAGATATTTGCCACAAGTATATTGTCTTGAGGAAAGAGGTGACAATTGTCAGGTCCATCCAGCTGCTTACCACTCACATTATACTGATTTCTCACATTTCTGCTCCAAATCTGGGCACTACCCAAGTCCTGCAGATAGTTTCAGTTTGGAGAACTGGGTTCACAGAAGGATGCTGTGTGTGCTGCCCCAAACAAGGGAGGTGACAGCCTGGTTACAGCAGGTGGTGGGTGCAGATCTGGTTTCCTTGGGGATCTGGGGACTCTTTGCCTTCACCTGTGCAGTGAGACTCAGTCCCCACAGAGTTCATCACTGGGGAAGGAAGAAGGGATGTGTGTGTCCAGTGGCAGTATCACAGCACTAAGGAAAAGGAAGGTCTGTTTATCACTGTCCGTGTGCCACAGGGACTCACAGAATCTTGGAGTGGTTGGCTTGGAAGAGACATTTAAAGCTCATCTCATTCCAACTCCCTGCCATAAGCAGAGACATCTTCCACTAGACAAGGTGGCTCCAAACCCTGATCAGCTAGCAGGCATGAGGCAGCCATGGGTTCTCTGGACGACCTTGTCAGGGCCTCACCACCCTCAGAGACAAGAATTTCTGCCCAATATCCCATTTAACCCTGCCTTCTGTCAGTGTGTATTCCCACATCCTGTTACTCCAGGCCCTTGTCCAAAGTCCCTCTCCAGCTCTCTTGGAGCTCGGTTAGGCACTGGAAGGGGCTCCTTCTCTTCTCCAGTCTGAACATTCCAAGCTCTCCCAGCCTGTCACCAGGACAGAGGGGCTGTAGCCCTCAGAGCCTCTCCATGGCCTCCTCTGGACTCACTCCACTCTTTCCTGGAGCTGGCAATACTGCAGCACAGAAATCCTGAAAATGCTCCTCATTGGAGACCTGAGACCTGCTTCTCTTTTCCAGCTTCCAGAGGCAGCGACGAGCTCAGCAACCTAGCCTTCCTGGACTGGAACACACTGCTGCTGTGCTGTGCCACAGGCCAGCTGTGCCTGGCCGACATCCGACAGCCACAGAGTCCTGTGGAGGCCGTGCCAGTGCCCTCAGCGCCATGCACTGAGCAGTGGTGCATGGGCACCAGGCATGGAGCTCAGGGCTTGGAGCTGAACTCCCAGCCCGTGGCTCGCCTCTCAAGCAGGGGACTCCTAACCCTGACAGACCTCAGGAAACCCTCTGAGTTCTTGGCCTTGGCAAAGGCCAGAGTCTCCTCTCCTGACTCAGGTGCAGAGTTCCTGTGTGTCTCCTGGGCTCCTGCTCTGGAAGGCTACCTTGCCATTTCAGGTAGGTGTTTAGGGCAGAGATCTCTTTTTCTGTGTGCTTTTTTGTTTTATAATTTTGTGAAGGCCCAGTTTACTCCACCTAAAACCCCCCAGTGACAGGGTGGCTTTTCAGTACTGCCCCTGGAGCCAGCAGAGATGCTAGCTAATTGTCCTCTGCAGCTGCCTCTTTCCAACAACTCCGGAAGGGGCCTGGGTGGGTTCTGGAAGATGCCTGTTGCCTTTCTGTGAGATCAAAGGCCCCAAGCTGACCACAAGCACTGCCCTGATAATACCAGTCACAGCCTGGCTGTACAGCATTGATAATGCCAGCTGGGCAGCAAGGCTGCCTCTTGACCAGAGCCTTGCATGTTCACACCCATGAATCCACAAACTTTGGGGATATGGTCTGGGCTCTCTGCAGCAGCTGTTTCCTTGGGACACTCTCCTCAGAGGCAGAGCTGCTCTCTTCTCACAGGTTTCTGGTCTGGGCCAGTTTTTCTTGTTCCTGCTGGGAGGTGAGCCTGAGCCCAGCTGGACTAGAGCAAAACAGTTAATTTCTGCACTCTCTATTCCTTCTTTATCCTTTTAATTCCCTTTTATCCAAGGTTTTGATGGCACCGTGCACGTGTATGACACAGAGAGCTGGGACAGCTCTGGCAGGGAAGCAGAGCCCATCTTTGTTCACAAAGGCCACACATTTGAAGGAGCAGGTGGCAGCAGGGACCCTCCCCTGGTCACTGTGCACACGTGGCATCTGCAGAAACCCAGAACTTTGTTGTCAGCAGCGAGTGATGGTTCTTTGCACGTCTGGGACTGGGTTCAGCCCTGTGGGAAGTGTGGGTAGGTGGTGTTTTGGTGAGATGGGGCACTTCCTGCCTCTGCTGTAGTGTGTGTGGGTGCAGTGTGTATGTTTGCCTGCAGATACTGCTTGGAGACTGTTGCAGTGAGCAAAACAACTGTAAAATTTCTATTTTAATAATAGTAAAAATTTTGCCTGTGTTACTTAATACTCCTGTGTACCAGCCTTCAGATGAGAGCTCTGCCTGTGGTTCTGACTCTGGCTGCTGGCAGAGAACATCCTGCTGTTGTTTGATCATAGGCTTGTGTCATGTCTGCAGAAAGGGAGAGGAGCAAAAAGGAGAGACTTGACAAGGGCCTGGACTGACAGGACAAGGAATGGCTTCACACTGCCAAAAGACAGGGTAGATGGGCTATTGGGAAGAAATTCTTCCCTGTGAGGGTGGGGAGGCCCTGGCACAGGTTGCTCAGAGTAGCTGCTGCTGTCTCATTCCTGGATGTGCCCAAGGCCAGGCTGGATGGATCTTTCAGCATCCTGGTCTAGTGGAAGGTGTCCCTACCCATGGCAGGGAGTTGGAACTGGATGAGCTTTGAGGTCCCTTCCAAATCAAACCATTCTCAGATTTCATGAAAAAAAAAAAAAAAAAACAAAAACCAAAAACCAAAAAAAAAAAACCCACCAGAATTTGATGAAACAGGCTCTTCTGTGGGATATTTACCCACTGTATTCCAGGCCCAGAGCACCAAGGGGAAACGGCACCCCCTGAGGTGGGTTGACATTTATGAAGGCTGTACTTCAAGAGCACCTGGGGAAACCTTACACTGGGAATGTGCTGTACTGACTCATTCTGTGCCATGGCAACAGTTGTCTGCCTGGCAGCTGAGCCTGGAACCTGCTTCATTCTTCTCCCAGGACGAGCCATGTGAGCACTTCCGCCTGTTCCAAAACTGCTGGCAGCAGGTGAAGCAGGGGCAACATGTCCAAGAGTGGGGATGTCACTTACTAAAGCCATGGATCTGTTTCACCACCAATCAACAAAAGGAAAAGCCTGTTTGAGTCCTAGAGGAGCTGAGCTCTCCTGAGGAGTGCCTGAGCATTTTTTCTGCTTCCAGGGGTCCACAGCAAAACCAACCCAGTTGAGCCAGAGCCGAACTGGGGGAAATGGGTTCTAATCAAGAGCCTGGGAGCATTTCTGCCCCAGTGCAGGCGGCAGGGAGGGCTCCTGGCTAAGTCTCTTCATCTGCTCTTGAGTCAGTTCCTTCCGGCTGTGGTAGAGCTGAGTGTGCCCTTCCCCTGCACCAAGACCTGCAGGTTCCTGCATTTAGGAGGTGGCTTTTCTGCCCTATGACTCGGACCCATAGCAACCCCAGGAAGGGCAGTGTGTAGTACACAGACATGAAGGGCCCCCAGAGAGGGATCTTGGAGCTCAGTGGGTTTTCCTCAAGCACCCCAGGGAGCAGGCAATTTGGCAGAGGTGCACTCAGATTGTGCAGCTCTTCCTTCCTGGGGGAAACACCCATAGAGGGAGGGTCTCACCTTGGAGAGGTGAGCTCTGAGGCAGAGAGACCACTGGAGCATTCCCAGCACCCCAGCTACTTCTTCCTGACTGCCCCCTTTGCCGGGACACGTGGAGGAGCTGGCCCCCTCCCCCATCACAGTGATGTGGATAGTGCAATGAGGACAGGGAACCGAATTTGCTTGGCTTTCAAAATGGGGCTTAAGCAAGAGCTCAGTTTGTACCCGTCTAAACTTCCCCTTTTTTTCCAAAAATAACTTAAGCCTTCTTGTCCAGCTTGAACCAGATTTGACAGGGGACTGGAGATATAAAAAATATTAAGTACTCACAGATGCTGTGGGAAGGGATTATGCACATAGGAGGGATCTGGAGTTGTGCTGGCAGTAGGGACATTGCTCTCAGGAGTGCACCATATGGAGTCTCTGGCAATGTCCACGTGTAATCAGAGTCTGGTTGTGTGACTGGAGACTGGCATTGCTGGAGCCTGATTTGTCTTTGGCAGGGAAGGTTGGCACAGCCTCTGGCACAAATGCCAACACCCATGAAGTGAACCAACCTAAGGATAAGGGCAAGGGCAGCTCAAGCTGCACGGGACATGAATGTGTCCAACCTCTGCTCTCCCTGGAACCATGGAGAGGTCCTCCAGAAGGCCTGTCTTCACTGAGGCCATAGAGTTCTAACTCCTGGGCAAGGTAACACAGCTGAAGACAGAATCATGGAATCATTCCTGTAGGAAAAGCTCTTTAAGGTCGTGGATTCCAATCTTTACCCACACACAGCCAAGTCTACAACTAAACTATGTATATCTTCAATTGCCACATCTACACATCTGTTAAATCCCTTCAGGGATGGGGACTCCCACCACTGCCCTGGGCAGCCTATCCCAAGGCTGAACAATCCTTTCAGGGAAGGAATTTTCCCTAATATCCAATCTAAACCTTCTCTGGCACAACTTGAGGCAGGGTTTCTCCTTCCTTGACTGTGAGGGGACAAACCACAGCCCTTCCATGAGGGACTGTCTCCAAATTCAGGTCCATAAATGGAAGCGTTACTTGGCTCATTCCCCAGCACTCGCTCCTGCTGCTCTCAAAGGGGATGAGAAGCATCCTGCAGCATTAACTGATGTTTGGATAGATTGGTTCAAACTGATGTTTGAAGATATGGTTTAGTGGCCTTGGCAGAGCAGGGGAACCATTGGACTCTAAGATCTTAGAGGGTTTTTCCAACCTCCACGATTCTGTGATCATTAAAACAATCAGCTCTGAGCAGTTCCTCAACAGGACACAGACTAGACATGGCTTGTTTAACAAGCAGGTTGTTAGTGCCCTGTTCTCATCAAGTACTGCATGACCATGCATTTCATTTCCAAAATAATGCCCAGTCCCTGCTGTGGGATACAAAATCCTTCATCTCCTTGGCTCCTCTGCATGTCTCTGCACACCAAAGAGGCTGTCATCAGTTGATGAATGGGGTGGCATGAGCAGGGCAGGTAGCTGCTGCTCCCTGGTTCTTGTGCAGGAGGGAAAAAATCCCCTGTGAGGGTGGTGAGGCCCTGGCACAGGTTGCCCAGAGAAGCTGCCCCATCCCAACAAGTATTCAAGGCCAGGTTTCATGGTCTTTCAGCAACCTGGTCTAGTGGACAGAGTCCCTGCCCAAGGCAGGGAGGATGGAATTGGATAAGGTTCAAGGTCTCTCCCATCTCAGACCATTCTATGGTTCTGTGACCTGCTGCCTGTGCCAGTTCCCCCATCCTTAGCCAACAGAAGTGTGCAGGCAGCGGGACTGTATTTTACTGTTTTTTTTCTTTTTTTTTTTTTTTTTCTTCTGAGTTTAATAAACTAGAATAATTTATTTGACAGAACACAGAAACATCACAGACAGGGTGGAGAAATCAAAGCAGCAGGTATCAATGATCAGTACAAAGGAACCACTTTACAAAAAGAAGTACCACGCTGCCCATCAGCTTTACCCAAAAATTACAGGGGGAGGGGAGTGGGCTCAGCTCAGCACCCCACAAACCGGGTCAGTGGGATGGAGCTATCCCTACAAAATGCTCTCAGATGACAACGTTGACTGCAACAGCACAATAAATAGTGGGAATGGCCTCTCAGTGAGTGGTGGGAGACCAGAGACCCTTGGAGGGGGGAGGAGGTCCAGGCACCACCAATCCAGGAGGTACAAGCATCTGTTGAAATATTGATTAGGGTGGCAAAAGCCCTGATTCTCCCCTACCCCCAAAGAGGTGCTAGATCCCATGCAGGCAGAGCAAAACATCAACCAGGGGAGCTTTGCAGCTTGGCAGGACAAAAGTATCCCTGGCAACATCCCGCTGGGGACAAGGCTATTCTGCCACAATATTGCCATGGCTGTGAAGAGGCATTTGAGGCCTCTCCCAGAGCCAGCAGTGTGTGGCAGATGGCACAGACCCACAGGGTCTGTAACCAGCAGCTCCCAGCTCCGAGCTGGTTTCGTCCAGGGAGACTATACTGGTGTGAAAACAGATGCAGCAGGGAGGACCCCTGGGGTTGGCCACTTTGGGGGGACTTGGGGGAAGAAAAGGGCAGGGGCTGCCCATTCCCTTTGTTTGGAGCAGCTGGGGCAGGGGCCAAAGTCAAAGCCAGACTCGTGCATCCCAGAGAGGGAACACATGCAGCAGGGCTGGACAGAGGGGGATTGGCCATGGGTGAAAGGAGGGGACACTGAGGTGCACAGGTGCCTTTTCCCATGAGAAGGCTGCCTAAAGAAACACTGCCCCCCCCCACACACACACAATTCTGCTGCATCCCCCCTCCCTGTTGAGACTGGGCTTATATAAAACTCATAAAAGGGGCATCTCATAGGAAAGGGCTCTAGTAAGTGGCAGGAGGCTGGACAGGGGCGGAGTTATAGTGAGCCCCACTGCCTCCTCACCTCCCTGGCCGTGCCCTGCACGGGAAACAACAGCTCTGGCAGCTGGATGAAGAGACAACACGGCACAGCTGGACGGTTACAGGTCCTGTGGCCATCGGGCAATTGGTAGGCTCCCAGTACAGGTAGAAAACAAAATTAATTAATTATAGAAAAGAGAAGCAGCCTAATGTAGGGGTGTCCCTGGGGCAGGGTGGCGAGCTGCAGGGAGCTCGCTTATCTGTCATTGAGCTGCGGAGAATTTGTCCGCTCCTCCTCATCCTCCTTGTCATCCTTCATGCCTTTCAGTCGCTGGCGGGCAAAGTCTTCAAACACAATGTCATCATCGCTAGTGGGGACACAAGGGAAGGGGGTTTAAGTGGGGTGCAAGGTCTTCAAACACCTCCTGTCCCACAAAGCTGTCCCAGCTTGCCCAGTGAGCTCAACCTGCACCGCCATATGTTACAGCAGCTCAAGGGGCCCCAAAACTCCCCATCCCTAGCAAACAGCCTTGATTTTCAAAGCCTTATTAATACTTGCCCAATGCACCCAAAAAATGAGCCCCTAAGCTCTCCAGCAGGTGCAGCTTTACCAGGGCCATTGGCATTTGCCCCACTATGGGGGAATTGCAGACCAGCAGGAAGTAGCTGGGTGGGTTAAGTACCCTAAAATCTCCCAAACATATCACCAGCCCAGGGAACGCTGTGGCAACAACCTCCCACACCCCCAACACGATCCCAGCGGCCTCTTACTGCAGTTTCTCCTGTTTTTTTGGAAAGCCATGCAGGGAAGGGTGAAGGAGGAGA